ACACACACACACACACACACACACACACACACACACACACACACACACGTTTGTTCCTCTATACTCATGGAGACTTTGCATTGACTTCCATTTATTTACTGGTCATTTCTATAGGCTAACCCTGACCCCTGACCCTAAACTCAATTTACATGTTAGTCCTTACCCTAACCTACAGTATTTCCCCCAATGGGGACTGGGCTTTTTTTCCCATAAGAAACTGGATTCTCACCAGGCTGTGCACCATAGTCCAAGAGATATACCATGTTTATCTGCATAAAAAGTACCAGATCCCTTCCAGGTATAAAAAAATTTACTTCTTACAAAAATTCTCCTGGACATAAATTTAGAATTCAAAGTTAATGCTTAAAAACCATGGCTTTGACTACGTCTATATAACATCTGACCATATTTTGCATAAGATCTGTTTTTATCAGTGCTTAAATGCTAAAAATGGATTTCTTAACTAAATCCAGGCAACCAATATTGAACTGATGAAGTCATTTACAGCTGGTAACCATAGCAAGTGTCAAAAAGTGCAAAAATCACTAGCCTAGTTAAAAATTTAAATCAGCTCCTTGTTTTACGCTTTGCTTTGCACAGAGGGTCTGGACTCTCGGATATTGAGAAACGGTTTCTTGCTAAAAGCATGGACTCTGTTGAAGTTTAAAACGATTGGATTTGATTTATCCAATCACTAATGTTTGGCTGTGATGTATGAGTGCCAGGTCGACCATGAAGGAGGCCAGGCTAAGAAGCTAAGAGAGAAGTACCGAGCTGAAGGAGACGACTGTAAATGAGAGCTGCTGCTTTGTCAGACAAATTTAATTTAATTTGGAAGCCTTATCAACACAGACTGGCTTCATTCACTTTCTCCACTGCCATTGCTAAACGTCAGGCAGAATAAAACGGTGCAGAAAATCAAAGCCATCGTTCACAACTCCTCCTTCTGTTCTCTGATTTGAGTAGAAATTCTACTGAAGAAATCCTCATCTATGGGAGAAATCTCAGACGGAGCAGTGAAGGGAAACTAGAACTGAGCGAACTGTGTAGGAAGCCAAGGGCCAGGCTAAAAACATCTAAGATCATTTTTAAAAATTTGCCATGCACTATTTTCCACTTTTCATTTAATATTTCCCAAACTGCAAGAAAATATCTTCAGATGCTCTAGTAATCCAAATATATAAGTTTAGATGTAAAATATCATATATTGTCAGGCTAGTAGCAAAAAATGACCCCAACCCTGTAGGGATATGCTGTTTTGTCGATGTTATGGACAATGCTATATCATAAATACCTCGTAATTATTAGCATAACAAAGGGGCACCACCTGATTATTTCAGGAAATAATTCATAGATTTTAAATCAGTCTCAGATACTGAGTTGTGAATTCTATCATTTTCAAGACATAACCAAGAAATGACGCACAGACAACGGAATTTCATAATATACCCTATATTAAATGATTCAGAGATGACAATACAGATTATTTGGGCAGACAGAGACAATTATCACCAAACCTTAAGTTTAATAATAAACATTAAAGTCAGTCACCGTAAGCTAGTATCCTTCACCTGAGTCACTTACTAATCTACACTCATAAAGGTTATAAGAAGCTTGAAGGTTAATAAAAGGAAGTTGTTAATTCATCAATAAAAGGGGATGTGGATTATGCATGAATTAAGCTCACCAAACCTTCTTTACTACCAACTTAACGATCCAGAAGTTTTCACCACCTCAGCTGAGC